TCTCTCTCGCTCTCTGTCTCTCTGTCTGTCTCTCTCTCTGTCTGTCTGTCTGTCTGTCTCTCTGTCTGTCTGTCTCTGTCTCTCTCTCTGTCTCTGTCTCTCTGTCTGTCTCTCTCTCTCTCTCTGTCTGTCTCTCTGTCTGTCTGTCTGTCTCTCTGTCTCTGTCTCTCTGTCTGTCTCTCTCTCTGTCTGTCTGTCTGTCTCTCTCTCTGTCTGTCTGTCTCTCTGTCTCTGTCTCTCTGTCTGTCTCTCTCTCTGTCTGTCTGTCTGTCTGTCTCTCTGTCTCTGTCTCTCTGTCTGTCTCTCTGTCTGTCTGTCTGTCTCTCTCTCTCTCTCTCTCTTTCTCTCTCTCTCTTTTTGTAATGCACACTGGCTCGGCGGCTCGGCATCAAAAGCCTCTCTCTCTGATCAGCTCTTTTAGTCGGGCCAGATGAGCGCCCAACTGGACACGCCACTTCAACAAGGAATTTACTGTTAGTGGAATAGGGGCTCCACTGTAGGGCATCGTAATGGCCGGCCATAAAGGGCGGATGTTGTCCTAACAGCTGTAAATGGATATACATCACAGTCGGTGACTGAAGTGGTCGTATGCAACGAGAAAGAAAAACTGGAGCTCGCTTTGCCCGAAGACCTCCAGAATAGACTTTGCAGTTAAAATGATGACTTGCAGAATCCTCTACATCATATTCTGTTACATTGTGGCAACTATTGTCTTTAGTCTTAGTCCTGTGTCAAATGTCCTTTTTTCATCCTCTGATTATATTGAACATTTCAGTTAATTAAGTCTTGCCAAACCAATTATTTTGTCGTCATATTCTAAACTTATTTCACGAGATTTAATCTTATATACCTGATGAAAAACGCAGGTTGAAAGATTAAGATGGCGGCTTTGCAGTAAGTCTGAGTCCTCCTGACTCTGCTTGTCATCGTGTGAAAAAAGGTCGTTGATGACGCAGACTTTATATAAGAAGTGAATGTCTTTACTGCAGATCTCCGTCCGGTATGATAGAAAGCACTCCTCAGCTGTTTGGAAATGCCTGGAGAGTCTCGTCGGCGTGTTCGACCAGCCTGAGTGCTCCTCAGCTCGACCCCTGTGACACCCACCAGCAGGCCGGTCAGTTCCTCTCCTACCTTTCAGCTTCTTCTGTTTGAGTGGTGAAGAAGAGGACATTCACAATGTTATACGTTTGGCTCATTCTAAGTCTTCTAAACATTGTCAATATTCGTTGTATTAAAGGAATACTTCACCCACAAACTTAACATTTCTATATTCATTATTCCTGCGGTGTTACCTTCAATTCTTAAAGAAATTTTTCTCTCACGCCTCCACGGTGAACGAAGAATCAAAAAACTGATAAAAGTTTTGATGAATTGGAGTAAATTTCAGCCACGGTTAACAACAGCAAAACTACATCAAAACATCTGTTTCCTCTCACACAACTCGTGCTGTTTAATCCAAGTATCACTTGTCCAGTCGTATGAAGTATTCGCTAAAATCTGACGATTCCTAAGAAGTTTCTCATCAAGACTTTTCTCAGTTTTTTCATTCTTCATCCGTTGTGGAGGTATGAGAGAAAAAACCTTTTCTTCAAGGATTCAAGGTAACACAGGGAGTGATTGATACACAAAAGCTCATATTCGGGTGAAATATTCCTTTAATATTGGGTATAAATGTAAAAACGTCTCAGGTAGAGCTGTGTAGTTTTGGATATTGCAAATGGTACCACGAGACTTTGAAATATACTTTAAAATCGATCAAATGTACACGTTAACTCTGATTGTAGATTAAGGATGTATGTGTTCCTTTCACATCTTGTAGACAGATGATTTATTTTTATTATGTGGAGTCGTCAAGAATTCAGACATAACAAAATAACAGTTTACTTTCAAGGGTCTTTATGTACTTCATGTATAATCTTTGATCCAAACTCTTTGTTTTGTTTCTCTCGTGTTTCTGCAGCTGCTTCACAGTAAATGCTTCAAGCTTTTATCAGATTCTGTTGCGCGCTTTAACTGTAAAGCAACGGCAGACTCGTGAATTTACACAAATGTGTTTGAGTCAGCCTGCGCTACAAATTCATTCCCATATGAAAGTTTATATTTGTACATTGTGAGCCAATAACTGTGTGTCGACCCGCTGCCCAGTGGCCTACGCCTCAGAGATGTGTGACGTGCTGAACCAGGATCTGTTCTCCGCCTGCCACGAGTACCTCAGCCCGACGTCCTTCCACCAGCAGTGTCGCTCGGACACCTGTAAGTGTGGGACGCCGTGCCTCTGCTCTGCGCTGGCCCACTACGCTCACCACTGCCGCCGGTTCTCCGTCATCGTTGACTTCCGATCTCAGATACCCGACTGCGGTGAGCACTCAGCACGCTGACATGTTCTGTACACGGGTCAAAGAGGATGACTTCATGAGTGAATTGTTCATTTATGTTAGAATCTCAGGAGGCATGAAGACAATTTACAATTTTAGACATTTCTTTTTTTTTCTTCTCGTTCTAGCTCCCAATATCAAATTCAAATCCCAAACTTTCCTCCCTGCTCTGTGTTGAGTGTCAGAACATGAACTTTTGGGATTTGGGAAAACTATCACAAAATCTTACCTCAACTCAAACACTGATGCTTGGTCAGAAACCCACGCCGTCACCGTGTAGCAGCGGGTCAAACTGTGACGCTCCTGTGACGTTCACAGTGAACACTTTGATAACGTTGTGAACCACTTTGTTAGATTTAGGAAAAACATCGTGGTTGAGCTCAAAATAACTACGTAAACCAAGTAAAACACCATAAGTATGAAAACATGTAACTTCCAAATACGTTTGGGACACAAACACTGGTCTCCTGGTTGAAAGTCCTGTGTTAGTCTGACCCATCCACCTCTGCCCAGTGTGGGTTTATTCAGTCTTCATACCACTTCATCAGACTCCCGCAGCATTTCCTCTGAGCGTCTGATAATAACGCCGATGGGTTTACATTGCAGGTACCTGAAAGTCTCTCATACGGGTGTGAAGAGGTTAGCGTAGATGCTTAATTAGCATCAGTTATATCAGAACTGGAGAGAATTTCTCTATCGAAAGAAGAGCAAAGAACGACACTGACACAAGTTTGTTTTTTCCTCTCTTTTGCCAACTCGCTTCAGCACAAGTTTGATTGACAGATGTTTCATCCAATGACCTGCTAAGTATTTATGTTTTCAAACGACGGTTCTGTGTAACAAACCGTCTGGTGCGTCAGGTTAAAGTACGACTGCATCTGTGGAAAAAAGTTCTATGAAGATTTTTGCACTCTGAAGCTGAAAAACAGCCTCAAATAATGTCATGTGATTCATCGTCGGTTAAAGTTTGAAAATGCAAAAAAAAATATGTGGAGGTAGCATAGTAGTAATATAAAATACCACAAGACAATTAAACCAGATACATGGAGCAAAGAGGAAGCAATAAGGTATCTATTACAACGTTGTGAACGTTGATATGTCTTGTTTCCGTTGTTGCAGGTTTAAATGTGATGATGTTGTGACGTTAGAACTGTACCTGCATGTTATAAACCATCACCGGCATGGAGTCTAACACGGTCTGTCCCTGCAGCGGTCACCTGTCCCCCCACTATGCGGTACGGCACCTGCATGTCGTCCTGCCAGCGCCGTTGCTCCGCCCTCTCCGTCCCGCAGCACTGCGGGGAGGAGTGTGAGGAGGGCTGCGTCTGCCCGCCGGAGTCCTTCTACAACCATCGAACACACACCTGTGTGCACAGGTGAGGCCGTCTCTGAACAAAGATGAATCCCTTTTACTTCTGTGCACAAAGTAGCAACACAAGCAGAGAGACGGAAATCATACATACTTTCTATAACATTCAATCATTTTTCTTTTACTGTATTTTGAGTTTTAACGGAGGCAGCAGAGAATCCGTGTCCTTGTTCTAGCTCCATCCGTTAAAGGGCTAACTCCGCCAAATGAATCCTCTCAAAGTGATATTTGTATCTGCTCTGAAGCTTTAGGTCAGCCTTTAAGTGTAAAGCCTTGTATCTGCCCTGCAGATGTCTCAGAGCCAGAGGACCTCGGTAATTGTGCTCTCTCTCTTTTCAGCTCGCTCTGAAGACATGCAGCTTAATTCCTCTTAAATGTCCCAGTTTTTTTCTTCTTTTACATCCTAGTGTGGCGCAGTGCCTTACTTACTACGCGATAGAGTTACAATTGAGGAATTCACCGTGAAACCCCCCTTTCATTCCGTGCTCGGGGCCGGGGACGACACAGATATCTGATAACCAGTGAGAAAGTAGCACAGAGGCCGATGTGTGGCGCTGGCCTGTATGTTAAAAGGCCTCCGCTTAACACAGTTCACCACCACGTAGATCCACTGTCGTTTTCTGATGCTTTTTATAAATGATTGTCCAAACGTTTGTTGTGGATTTGACACTTTGAGCACTGATTTCACCTCCTTAAGCCTTCTCCTCCGTCCTCTATCTGCTTACTTCTAATGCTCTGTTTAAGGTACCACAAAGCCCTCTTTAACAAAAGTCTTTACACGATCATTTCTTTCTGTAACCAGTGTAGCATTAAAGCATGGTGGCATTACAAGCTAGCTAAGGACTGTCTGCAAGTTAGCTAACTAGCTTGTTAATTCCACCATGCTTTAATGCTACACCAATTACAGAAAAATTATCAGAACAAAGTTGTCACTTATCTGGTGACAGCAATGTGCTCGAGAGTGCGTGGATGAAGCATTGAGTTGTTAAATGTTACTCATTTGCTCTCTAACGTTACGACTCAGCGGCTCGCTTTATTCGTTAACGTAAAGCTTCACCTCTTTTTAGTCGTTAA